TTATGGATGTTGCGGGGAAATCTATTGACATTATGGAACATGTAACGAAATATCACTGTAACACTTAAAAAAGTTTTAAAATTCCATTTATATCATTGTCCTGTGAAAATGTTCATACTTCCAGCAACATTCATATTCCAATCAAAGAATTTACAGAATAAGGAAAAGGAATCTAAAGTAATTTTCAGTAGTTCCATACATCTTTATCTCGAATACTTTTCTAAAACATTCAAAGTACTAGACATTTTTACACTTTGAATCTCATATCGATTTCTAAAATAATCCTAGTTCGATGTAATATAGAACGTGGTTTTATGAGATAGATTCGAAGTTCGCAGCCATTAGCTCGATATTGTCATCAGTTTACAGTACTTTACCGATGATAATACCGATTGCCCAGGCCTCACCACGAGGAGGTTGCTGCGAGTGGAGGCCCAAGGCAGTGAGATGGAATCACAAGTTCTACATCTTCCCACCTTTTACAATAAACCTTATAAATAACTTAAATCTTAACTATGTAATACTGTCTGTACTAAAATCCCTCGGCGGATGACTTCTTTCATGAGCCTAAACCTATAAAAAACTAAGTTCCCTCGTCGGTTGTCTTCATTCTTCAGCTTAGAACTAATATTATCTTAATATTCTAATTAATACGAATTAATACGAATTAATGCTATAAATACAAAATAACTTAAACTAAACGCAACGTAGTCGCTAATACTCAAACGAAAGAGATAGACGGAATGGAAGAAGTTCCATCGATCATTTCGTTTACGCACCTAATATTCTATATACCAAGCAGTTATTAAGTCTACGATGAACCACGTTAAACTACAGTATGAACAAGTATCGCGATGCAAGTGTTGTCGCCAGAACCTGGTTTAAGAAAATAGGAAAGACGGGCGACACCTCGCTAACCCGGATCCATCTTTTACTGCCATGGTGCTTTGGGCTGGTCACCTGCGTACCAGACCCGAACCAAAGGAGTACACAAGCATGATAGTGCAAGCGAGATTCTCTGTTTATGGAGCAGCCTCCCGACTACTCTGTACCCTTGCATATCTCGCTTCTCAATAGAAACCAGAGGGATCGGCAAACAGTCTTAGTGTACAGACCCACTGCCCGTACCATAGGTACAGACCCACTGCCCGTACCCCAAGTCTGTGTAGAGAATCAACGAGCAAAATGAATTAATAATAACTTGGTATGCACAATGGATGGTCACAATTTAAGTCTATTAATAGATAGACTAAAATTAATAATAAACGATGCGATGATGAATATGAATATAACAATGAATATCGAATTATGATTTAAGTTTAACTTACAGTAACTTAAAGCAGTGGTAGACGCACGCTTTGAAGATTTAGACGTTGATCGATGTTTTCTTTCGATGGAATAACTGATTGGAAAAATATTTTTCATTATACAATACACATAAAATACATAATATGTACAGTAAATAAATCACAGTACATAAGAAAATAAATATCAAAGTTTAAGGTTAATCGGTTCTCGAACATCTGTAACATACAAGGGATTACTAACAAGAGAGGGGACACAACAATATGCACAGTAAATAAATTGATGGTTGTCGAATGCCTGCAACAAACAATGGGTTAGTAACAAGAGAAAGGACGAGTATGAGACGCACGCCCACCCTCCGCGACGGCTCACGAGAAAGTGAGGAAGCTAACGCCGTTATGTATTGGGCGTACGCAGGTTTGTTCGTGTTGAATTGTTTTTGCCGACTTGAACGACCTTCCTCCTTGAACGACCCAAACACCGGATAGTACGGCCTGGTACGGCGTACACGGCTAGGTCAATAAACTGTGTGACGTAACGTCACTAGCGCGTTGGACCGACCGAGAGCACCGATACCGTGGCACGCTCTACCGTACTCTCTTGCTCGCACACCTCCCCCCATAGACCACCGAAATTCTTCGGCACGCGTCAACACCAAAGGAGAGCACCGATACCGCGGCTCGCTCTATCGCTCGCGCTTGCACGCCGTAACGTCACCCGATTCCCGGAATCCCGCGGTTACGAGATGGCTCATTACGGTAAGGCTTATACGGTATGTATATACGGTAGGTATATACTTTTCCGTTTCATGTTTCATGACTGACATATTTATCCCTTAACCTTAAACTGAAGCATCGGATATTTTTATTCTCGTGAAATCATATAGATACACTTAATATGAATGGAATATATAACACTTCATTTGTGCTAATAATACTCAGAATTCATGCTTTATCGGTAACGTCGGGTATTGACACTAAAATGGTAACAGGGCTACGTAGCCCTATGAACGTGGGACAGAAAAAAGCATTGGATGATAGGTCTATTCTATACCTAGTCGGTGGTATTACATTTAACTTGTACATAATTGTATATAATTAACGTTGAACAGTTGTACAGTATTAAATAAACGTTGTGTTGTGTTACATTCAATAAAAAGTACTGTTATGTCGTGTGGCGAAATGCCACGGCGTAACAATATACATATGTATACGTATCTACAGTGGAGTCTGGCTATTGCGACACCGCTTATAACAGCAGACCTCATATTGCATCCGACTTGCTCTCTATGTTCGGAACCCCATACACATTACTTTATATATATTTTCATTCTGCTTATAACAACATTCTTTTACAGCGACGTAATTTCTCTGTCCCTTGAATGTCGATGTAAACGAACTCCACTGTATATGTATATACAGGGTGAACCACGAATCGTGATCAGTAGAGATTACTCTCTTATTAGCAGTCCGATCGCAAATAGTTTTATCAGGTACAGCATGGTTTCAAGCGAGCTTTAACGCGATTATAGCAAATTTTTTGTCAACTCTTTTTTTCATGATTTTTCAAGGTCACCTTCAATTTTTTGCAAAGACACCTATAATTTTTTTACGCCTATCTGTTAGAGGATTTCAAGATGAATTCGGTAAGTATCAGAACATAACATGCGTTACTTTTCTTTTCATCTGGGTCCAGAAAAGATTACAGAAATATTCGAACTGCAATATTACAAAGAGTATCGTATGCTACGCCATTCGATGTTCCGATGTTGAGATCTTGCCTACTGTTTGCTAATATTTCGTTCTGTACATTGGAACACATCTAATGATATCTACTGATCACGATTCATGGTTCACCTTTATATACAGAGTGGTCCACGCAACTCGTTCACCCTGAATAACTTCTAAAGTATGCATTGTATGAAAAACTTTTTTATAGAAAAGTTGTATGGTGTGGAGATATACATTATGTATAGAAATGGCTTGATAAGTGTGAATGCCTCGGTTCTGCGGAGTCACAATCATGAAAACACGCGGGGACAGTTGTCAGCACTTCGTCAGTTTTTTGCTCGAAGCTAGAGCCCCGATTTTTAATTTTTTAAATGAAATGCTATATTTTTTATGCCAAATAATCGAAGAAAAAGAGCGGTAAATTTTTAGTAAAAAATTATTAAACTTTATTAGCCGTGAACCTAACAATTAACGAATAATTAGACTTTGTTTCTTGAAAATGGTCTGTGCGTAATATCAAGTTGATTAATGACAACTTCTCCAGCCTGATCAACACTAATGTAGGAAGCAGGCGTTAATAGAAGAGTTTGCGAGTACGTTGAACCCAAAACAGCTGATCGGGATTCGCAAACTCTCCTATGCCCGACAGCGTGTACGAATGCGTGTGTGTGTGTGTACGTGAGCGTCGGCGGTATTATGGTTATCGAAACGTGTTCATATACCGCGAAGAGCAACGCAATGTCAGCGTCCGCTAAAGCGAATAGCGGGCGTCGAAGTCCGTTGACTCGAACGTGCGAAACAAAGGAAGAACGTTGACCGATGCGTGGATAAAAAGGACGTGTCCGTGGCGTGCAGGAAGAGTCATACGAAAACCACGATACGACGATCACGATTACGAGTACGATTACGAGTACGATTACGATTACGATTACGATTACGATTACGACTATGGATTACGATTACGGCTTACGATTACGGATTTCGGCTACGATTACGGATCACGATTATTTGTATATCACGGCAACGAGTATATGTTCTGTCTCGACTTGTATTGTTTCTATTGTCTTGTTCTCTCTATAATAAACAGATAGATATTCCAACCAAAATTCTATCTTACACTAATGATAACTTCAATACTGAATCACGGACAGAACAGGCAATTATAATTCCATACACCGAATCGGTCATGTTGGTAAACATTGTCACGTAAACGATAACAAAATCACGTTAATTAACGAATAATGTTAGATTTATAGTTAATATAGGTCAATACTTTTTTATTCCAAATTTAACACTCTTCGATATTTTGACATAAAAAATGTAACATTCCATTTAAAATAACGAAGTTGACCTTGAAATCTCCGATACGCCTCCACCTACAAAAAAAGTATATGCACTATATAATATATCCGTAGAAACTATGCAACTTCTGTATAAAAAAAGTTGTCATAGAATGCATACTTTCGAAGTTATGTAAGGGGCGCAAGTTGTGTGGACCACCCTGTATATACAGAGTGTAACGAAAATGTGGAGGACCCAGAAATGGGAGACTCGTGAGGTGATTTGAAACAAGTTTTTCTTTAGCACAAATGTTATTCGAGGCTTTGTTAACACAACATATTAACGAAAAACCCCTACCAATCAGAGGGCGAGTCTGCCAGCCGAGTTCCGCGGTAACGTTGGCTACCAATCGCAGTGTGTAGCCAACGTTATAGCGAGAACTCGGCCGGCGATTCGTACATGCATATACACATATACCTACACACATTTATATAGCATACACATATTCGTATCACATATGCATATGCACACATAATATATATATACACATATATACATATTCACATATTCATATTCACATATCCATATTCACATTTCATATACACATATTCATATACACATATTCATATACACATATTCATATACACATATGCATATACACATATGCAAAGTAATAAAGAAAAAAATAAACAAGGATACACATATTACATCATAGTGTCACATAGTGTAACGAAAACCGGTCTGGTCAATTCTCTATTATACACACAACTTGTTTTCGTTAGCTGCGAGGAAGTTTATTTAATCGTTGATATCATGAGATAAAAAATGACTGTTTGTAGAACAGTGTGTATCATCATATAAACAATTTTCAGTAAGTATTGCTAAAAGTGTTTACAACAATTAAATAGTTCAAAATTCTGTAACTTTGGTATTCTAACCTACAATATCACTTGATATACAAATACTTGAAAAAATAAATTCAAGTACTTAACGAATTCTGATTAACAAAGATTATTGTTACCTTTTCATTATAATGTTAATAAAGCACTGTCTTCACTCTCTGGATAATAGCATGACAAAACTTATTTTAAACTCACCAATGGAGGAGCCAGAGAAAGTAAAAACACCAGAATGGAAGAGACCTGATCAAGTGATGCAGTTGCATCGACTAAAAATTAAAAAACGCTCTCTCCAAGCACGTATGACCAATATACGTGTTAACAGAGAAAATTTGGACATATTAAAGAATTGTAACCTTAATAATGGACAGTCTGTTGCTCAGAAGCGTAAAAATCCTTTTGCCCAAGGTGAAGGAAATAAACGAGCCAATATAACTCCTCCAGAGTTAGAAACTAGTAATGATAATACATTGTACGAGCTATTGAAAATTGAAACTCCAAAATCAGCACCGGAAAGCCCAATAACTGACAGTCCATTAACGTTCTCCAACTTATTTTCAAAATTAGAAGCGAGTAAGTATAGTCAGGAAGTAGAAATACCAAAAGGTGAAAAGTATATTCCAATAGATTGGACATTAAAAACAAAAATGAGATTTATGTCTCCAAAACCATTTCCATGGAATTCTAAATTAAAAACTAGCGAAGAAGCATCTGGTACAACTGGTTTTGTAAGGTGTTTAGATATTAGTGAAAAAAATTCAACTTTAGACACTAGTCCAAATGCAAGGTGATTTCTTAAATCTTTTATACATTTTGTTCAGTAGAAATATCTATTTAAGTAATAATTATGCGTGTTTGCTTAAAATAGGCTACATAGATGTTGCTTAACATGGCAACATCCTTCACTTCCATGGTTAGAATTATTTCCTCGCTGTGCTGGCAAAGTGAGTGCCAATCTGACAAATAATTTGGCTATCGTGAATAATGTACCTGTTAAAGATGCTTTATATAAAGACTGGAGCGATAGCTTTAGATCTCTTTTCCACTTATTACGGGCTGGACAATGTCCCTACTTTTATGTTTGTGCAAATAATTTCACTGTTTTATTTCGTGCTGCTGGGATTTGTGGAATATCTGAAGCTCATGCACTTTTGACTCCTACTACACGAGGTTTCCGACAATCCTTAAAACAAGAAGGTACGAGTGATTTTAAATATGGTATGGAAACATGTATAAAGTATCATAAATTTTTATAGAAATAGATTATACAATGCCTTTAAGGAAAGATTCTAAAAGACGATCAGATGTAACTGATTCTGGTTGCGATACAATGGATTTAGCTGTATCAAATACTAACACACAATCAAATAATTCAGAAGATCAAAGTTTGGATGACGAGGACGAAACCCAAGATGAGTGGTTACAAAGTCTTGGTGTTGATAATTCTGAAATTCGCAAAATTCATAGTTCTCAGGTACTTCTACAATATTTTAATTCCATCTTTCTATTAATTATCTAATACTTCATTTTCTTATAGGCGAGAGTGACATTGGAAAAGGAAACTGAAATAGACAATCTGAAACAGTCTTTAATTTTTGTCAAAGGTGTTGAGGCACAAGGTCTATTTAATTTTCTAATTAATTGTAAGTCGGCTATTACAACCACTGGCCCTTTAGCGGGAGTGCCTCCGACTCTTTTAGCGCCTGTAGCCTTTTATGGTGCTACGTTAAAACCAATTAAGGTATGAACTCCTGTATTTATAATTATTAAAACATTATGCAAATTATTTTCTGTTTTTGAAGGTGAAAGAAAGTACAGTACGCGTCGATAATGAAAGATATTTTTCTTTCGAATTAAAGGGGCCATTATTACCGCACGTATTACCCTCTCTTTGTTCTTTAATGAAATCTAGTCAATTGGAGCAATATTCTGCAAGTTGTGCACAATTAAATTCAACAACTTCATTTTCGGTAACAAAATACGGATCTGGTAAATAATTTATTTTGTATACTTCTGTTGTTACATAATACACATGAACCTCAATTTTTATATTTCCGCAGAACAACGAGAATCAAGTGACGCGCCAAAAATACCACAAAATATTTTTGCTCAGGAGAATTTGAGTGATTGTGGATTTAACGACGAATTATTGAAAAAATTTTGTAGTTCTGATTCGTCACACGTTCAAATTTTAGATAGTATTAAGTACTCAAACAATTTGTACACCTGGGCTTGACAAAACACTTGAAGAATCTTATTTATACTATGTTAAGTGATGATATCTGAAAATTTAATTTAATAATAATGTTATTTTGTAACAGAATTTAAACACCGTGACGACATAATTTGTTCTAAAATCGAAGTTTTTTTTAGTCAGTAAACAGGAATAGAAATAGGCTACACAGTGTGAAATGTAATCTTAACTGCTATTATTATCATGCCCATTTTCACGATCATTATTATCATGGCTAATTTAATTTTATCACAATCATTGTAAACAATTTGTTTTTATATACGTCAATACTGACGAATGTATTCTAAGACGAGTTTTTACTTACAAAATAAATAATAACCTTTAATATATATTTTTCTTTAAAACAAGCGTTTCTTAAAACTCACAAAAATATATTTTGCTGTACAATAAATTTTCAATTATTATAAAATATTAATTTTTTATGCTGATAGCAATCTAATAAAAAATCAAAATATATGTAAAATATGATTTCTTATATTACTTATCTATATTTCTCGTATTGTTGCATGCTATTCCTTATTTTAGCAACAATAATATTAAATCGGTATATATCGTATAATATTTTAAAGTTGTATTATATCTGAAACCAAGAATAAAATTTTTCATGTTCTCGGATGAAAATTATGCATAACGGTAATTCATTACAGACAAATCGAACTCGCCAGCGGAGAAGGTGGGGTCCATGGATGGACTTGCCCCTAAAAATAACGAATCGATATTCGCTCACTGCCCCCGAATCGTCGGACGGTCACCTCAAGAGCGAACAATCAATTTATTATAAGAAGAATTGCCTCCCATATTTCTTTAACAAATCTATAATTTATTACAAAGACAAATACCTTTCAACGAACTGAGAAGAAAATGATAGTTTTTAGCTATTTTTTGTTTGAAATATTAACTGAATACTTCAGAATAACATCATAGTATAGCTACCGAAATATTGTGTCGACCGTGGTATGAAGTGGAGTACGATGTACTACTCTACAATTCATATGCACACGTGTATCTCTGCACAGAGCACGGGCATAAATATATACGTACCCATGTGATGATTACGTCAGTAGCCGTTGCAGTCTGTGCTCATCGTATTGCGACACTCTTCGACGAGCAGTTTCATGTTCCAAGGTCTCTTCTGCGAGTTCACTTTTCGAACCGAACAATGCACCGGTTATATTGCCCCCTCGGGCCACACTGAAAGCGATAGCGTAGCAGGAATTTCCACTGCTTTCCATTTGAAAACTGGGCTTTCCTCGCTAGTAGAATAGAATTCCTTTGCGATGATATCGCGACCGTTATCGTTCTGAAGATACATTGAAAGTAAAGCCTTTGCCGTGAATCGAGAATAAATTGACTGAACACGAGTAACACGAGGAGGTCATTTAAAAGCGTATATTCAGTGGATTTATCTGCAATAGTTGTAGTACTAATTTACTTTTAAACTATTTTAACTGCAGTGTAATTGAAGGGACTAATAAATTTTAGGAAATTGGAATTTTAATTTTCACAAACACATCAGGTTTCTTACAATGGAAAAACTATGATGTACCCTTGCTGGGCTGTTGTCCATACCCAAAGTACCCTAAACGTTCTTAAAGCGCCGAAATGGAACGGTTTCAAACTAAAAACGCAAGATCCTGACTCGCGATGAAATTTTAACGGGAATGGAATAATCTTGAATCTGAAATACATAAAAAAACAGCATTGCTTGGGTGGCGCGCGGGAGAGACAAAAGGGAAAGTCCCTTCTTCTCGCAAACGTCCGATCAGGCTACCGAGAAGCAACCCCTCGTAAACGGGAGGGTTCAGGGTGGATAAAGCTGCTGGGTACGCGGGTGGTAAGGGGTTCGCGACTAGGGTGGGTGCCAACGAGGGCAGGGGGGAGATTCACAACGGTACATGTGTGTGTGTGTGTCTGCTCCGAGCGCTCGGAATCGGTGAAGGCTGGAAAGAGACCGACGAAAGAGAGACAGACGTTTCAATATAGCGTATTGAGTGAAACAAGGACGGGGATTCGGGCGGAGAGAGAGAGATTCGATGAGAACCGAAAAGAGATGGAAGCAGGCAAAAGCCGTGCGTGGAAGGGAGATGGAAGTTGAAGACGCAAGGGAACGAGAGCGATAGACATAAGCAGGATCGTGGGTACACGGTAGAAAGAGAGAGAGGCCCTCTCCCCCATGGTACGCGTACACATCCTGGTCCCTTATTCCCTGTACGTGCGAAGGGGGTTTCGAGAGCCAGCAACGGTGGAGCCACGACAACGAGCCACAACCACGGACGGCGAACACGACTACTACGACACCGCGTGGGGGTTGCACGAAGACCCCCTGGTGGGGTTCTGGCTGCCGACCCCACAGTCCCCCGCTGGAAATGATATCAGTCGCGACTCGGTCGAGGGAGCCCCAGCACGCGTCGTGCCCCTCACAAAGTGAGCCTGTTTGCTTGCTCCGATTGTCCATCAGCGTTCGCGTTCATAATTTCTTATCGGTGCGTGCTTTCGTCACGAGACTCGCTATCTTCGGGGGGGGGGGGCAGAGAGGGTGGTACAGGTGTTCGTGTAGAAAATAGTAACCAAGAAGTTGACATTGGTGTACTCTGACCTACCCCTTTTTCATTGGATCGTACTCGTTGGTTCATTCCAGAGTGGACTGTAACAACGAGGCCTTGTCCGTAACTTTTAACATTGGACAATCAAAGGTGAGTGGACTTTTGGGGGAACATGGCTTTCGCCTAGGGTATATATTCGTGGTGGCGGAAAAGTCAATTTTGGGTAGTCTTCTATTTACCAACGAAAGAGGGAAACGCTTTTACTTCGTGTCCAAAGTTTGATTAGGAGATCGCAGATTGTATTTCAATTTGTTGTCTCTGAATCGACTTCGAAGTGTATACCATTCACTGGACATGGAATTTGCGAAAGCAACGATTGGATATTTGCGCTGGCTGGGATCACGCTTAACACCTCACACGACATCTGTGGGCTACTCCGTTAGAACTGTAACAGTGTTCCGCTCCTTCCTCCGTCTGTTTATGATAACCGACTGCTTCTGAATCGGAGCGATGCGACGATACCATTAACTCGTTCATAATAGCTTCGTGAAGTGAATGCCTGGCAGTTAGTCACATAATTGACTGCGAATGCACTTGTACGATATCCACGGCGTGTCCTGATGAAACAATAGCTCCTTCTGTCTAGGTCTGCGTTAGGACTTGTTACACATAAGAGTAATGTTCTTATTACAGCTACACACATGCATCGAGGTACTTTGCACCGAGTATAATTGAAGTGGAGCCAGCTGTTTGTCGATATTTATGATCGTTTCGTTCGCGGTACCGCACAACAGTCGTCACACCGTGTTTTCGATTCCAATAAAACGTACGATCTGCGTGAAACTTTCGAAATTTCCTGCTTTCAAATAAGTCCAAGATGATTCTTCTCCGGATTTGTTCGCAGACATAGCCTTCCTTACTCAACACACTTGTTCGTAGTAGACTTGACGGTAAAACAGAGGCTAATCCTCCGCTGTTCGACGATGGTCGTTAAAAGCGAAACACAATTTTTAACGCATGATTTTCCTCCGCCCTACGTACGTATACGTCTCCACATCGACGCGTGCGTTTTTAAGGCGCGACTACGAGGCGCGGGTATTAATAGAGTCGCGCTGGGATGGGGCACATACAGTTTAAACCGACTCTGCTCTCTTGATCTTCGGCGATCTAGAGCGCTCTAACCAGCGACGGGAGATCTTGCGCATTCTTGGATATCTTAGTCATGCGAATAAGCAGCGACCTCGATACGTCACTTTGAATAGTTCACCGCTTTTCCCGGTTGTCGTTTTTTTTTTCATCTAATTAAATTCACATCGTGCGGTGGAATGTAATTATACTAATTAATAACGTGGGCGGTACTACTGCTTTGGGACAAACGCGATGAGAAATGGTATCATGGACGCGCGCAATGTATTTTGTGTTTACAAAACCGTTATAGGTACTACTGGGTTTGTAGATGCTACACAAGAAAAGATTATATAACGCGTATAAATAGAAAATTGAGTATGTATTTGTTTGACACATTTTATCGTATACTTAAAGTCAAGAGTAATCACAATTTTGTCATGTAATTTATTCAGATTGTCAATATCTTTAATGTGTAGTATATATCACTAATAAAATCAGTGAAATGATTGGGGCACGTAATTCTCTAACTACCCGTTCGATATAATGTATAGTATGATTTAAAAAATTTGAATATTAATCATAATTAAACTGAATATAGTCAGCTGATCCACTCCTTACGTTCTTTCGGATATTCCACCGCTGATTCGCAAATTGGTCGATGCTGCGCGTGCCATTAATCACTGTGACGGAATATTACAGGAAATAGAAGTGCACTTGACAGAACATGGCGTATTCGATTCTGTCTGCTTACTTCTGAGTTATGTAATTAGAAGAAGACACAAGATTTTCATGATATGTATTTTATGTTGAAAGCTGAATGTAATACATTTGACCACAAAGTCAGTTTTAGTCCCTTCAATTATAAGTGTTCCCTCGTTATTGGTTAAAAACAATATGCAATAGCAAAACATGTGAAACAAAGTGCTAAATATGTTTTTTTAAAGAGGAGGTAATTGTTTTTGAATCTTCGAATGACAGAAATTTTTTATTTCAAATATTTTCTTTACACTACTGGCAAACAGAGAACACTCAATGCTAACAAAATTTCTGTTCTCTTTGCGGTGTTATTTTGGTGGCTTGTCGAGTGGATAGTTTTGGTTTGTTTATTTTACTTACACGAGAATACAGATGGTATGTCGAAGATAGCCGCGACATTCGAGTGTGAATGAAGCTTGCCTTCGAGAATCTCACAAGTGATGAAGTCTTTTATTAGAAACATTGTATCATACCTTGATTGTTTGCTGTTATACATACTATTTACGTAATATAGAGAAATTATTTCCCAAAATCATACAAGATAACTACGAATATTATAGTTTCTATTCAATTAATGTAGGCTAGGCTGGACATTTCTTGCAACGTTTTTAAACGGTTGTTACATAAAGTTTTGCATTTTTAAATTTAAATTGTTTAAAAAGTATTAGTACATAAAGTTTCGCATTTTTGACTGGAAACTTTTATTTTTATTTAAATTATTTGCTTCCATCTTGTGAAGTGTTTTGTATATTGCAAGATTATTTTCCTATGAGTTGAAATGTAAGATAAAATATTATATTATTAAATGGTTACTTGAATTTTTTTTTGCATTTGACTTTAATTGTTAACAATTGCAAAACAAGTTAACTTTGCATATCAATAATAAAGCTATGTACCAGAAAACAATACCTAGGGCGATAAACGATCAGAAAAGAAATTCTTTGCATTACATTATCAAATGTAATCTAGATTACATAATAAAGTGTTATTGATCATGAAAATTTTTATTATAGTAATAATAAACGTATACGAAAGAATAAATAATAAAAGTTATATAGTAAACTGTGAAAGCATTAATATTTTTCGTTTTAATATTAATTACCGTGTTAATTGTATACACAAAATTGTCACATTTTCAATTTCAAAGAGAAAGAATTGTAGAAATATTGTCTTACATTCTAGTCTGAATTAGAAACTTCAATTTTTACCACCGCGACGCCATAACAGTCTCGATAACTTTATCTCCAGAACATAAAACTACACAGTGACCAAGTATACACATGATATCAATCACTTCCTTATCACGAAGTTACGCACGATTGTCAACATTACACTGTATTGCCATAAAACTCATACGGTTCCAAACATGAAAAAACTATTTTACAGTTTTATCTACTGCAATATCATACACTGCTTAAAGCCATTAAAGAATTATATATTGCGACTGGCTACAACCGTCAATATGGCGCACAGTGGTCCAGAATCAACATTTGGAGGTTTCAATTGTCACAAACAAATTTCTTTTATCTTCTACAAAACTCGCATCAAGATATTATTATCTACAGAAGATTTGCTTACTTTTATTTTAATAAAAATGAATTTCAGATTTTTTCATTGCTTGACCGAAATATTCGCGTGAGCTGTTTTTATTCTGGACCACTGTACGGAGTCGAATTTCTGAATAATTTTTTACAAAAACAAAAGTAGGCGTTAATATCGCACGAAAATAATGTCAATTTATCAAACTTGTAGCACTTTTTTCGTTTCTTTCGCTCGATTAAGGGGTCCGACCAGTGTAACATTCTGAAGAAGAGCGTATTTTTACGCATTATTTGTGCAAAACTCAATCAACCCTGTTTTTTAAAAGTTGTTGTATTTATTATGCTGTTGTTAAACTATTAATTGGCATTGTTTTTAATTAATTTAGACATATACTTTTCCATGTAACATGTTCTCAAATCTAAGTCTGTAAAAAAATGCCTCAATTGGCGTACGTGATGATCGTTCTGATCATCCGAAATAAAAAAGGAAAACAAATATTTCGATAAATTATATGCTTGTAGTTGAAGGATAAACGTAACTAAAACATTTCAAAATGAAAATTCCAGTTGATAATCAAGTATTATAGTATCGATTTTTGTTGTATTTCGCACTAACAAAAAAACATATAATTTGTTATGTTCTCCTTAATTTTATAGGATCATTCTCCAATAATGTGTGCTTACTACAAGGAGGCAAAATGTTAAGTCGATCAATTAATTATTTCTTGAGTGATCTAGCATACCAATTTCAAAAATATGATTCCAAGAACAACGCATTCAAAGTTCGAGAAGTATTAGGTATATTCCGTGCACCGTTCACTTCAAAATCGCGTACTCCAATCATTTTTAGGAATTCCAAGAAAACATTTTAAGGGCATGCTTTTAACGCCATAAGGTACTGAAAAATTAGAAAAAAGTTTTCTACTTTTTTTTCATCGTTACATCGGTCTGACCCCCTAACCTAATAAGGACCAATATTGCGTTATTGTACCATTTCATTTGCAATGTTTTGTCACGTTATTAACATTACCGAATACGTACTAACTTTCTAACATTGTGGTTATGAAAGAGAATTCCGGAGATTTCCTTTAATAGTTTTTTTGTCGCTATTTCTTCTTCCACTTAGGTACACTCCCGCTTATAAGCATGATGTTACTTATCGAATAGGCAATAAATGTTATCAGGTATCATGAAATTGCTGACAATCTGAAATAAATATTGTCTATAGGATATAAAACCTCGATGGACAAGGCTTATGATACAGTGAAGTGACAAATGTAACCTAAAATATAAAAGTTTTACAAAAACATCACATTTTCTTAATACAGACCAAGTAAAAGGATACTTATTAGCGGTGATATATGTAATTTTGTAAAGAATACAAAATCCTGTTTAAAAATCATATTATTTCACTGCTTGCTCCAGAATGGGCTAACATACGACAAAGTCGTCCACTACATATAGACGGTCCCTAATTAATTTTGTTCGGTATATTTTAGTTAGTTAAGTATCGTTTACTACACGAAAAGTGTCTGAATCATAATATGTACACAACACGCGTATACTATATACTATGCCGGCGACTGATCCGGCTTCTATCATTAGAAAAACTTATAATACACAGTGTCGTCGATAATTACAATACCACGACAACGTTCATCTCAGTATTTACCTCCGTTCCACCTGCATCATATCTACCTGCAACATCTGCGAGTGCCACGGCTC